TCAGATCATCATCTCTCATATATATATATATATATATATAAAACACTGCTGTTCAAAAGTTTGGGATCAGAAAGATCTGTAATGGTTTTTTAAAGATGTCACTTCTGCTCATCTGCATTTATTTGATCAGAAAAAACAATAATATTGTGAAATATTATTACCATTTAAAATAACAGTGTTCTATTTTAATATCCTTTAAGCTGTAATTTATTTCTGTGACGCGCAGCTGTATTTTCAGCATCATTACTCCAGTCTTCAGTGTCACATGATCTTCAGAAATCATTCTAATATGCTGATCTGCTGCTCAAGAAACCTTTCTGATTATTATCAATGTTGAAAACAGTACTTCTGCACTGAGACATTATTGTCCTGAGAGTCACACACATTTCTGTCATCACTAAACACATTCATTAGTGTGATGAGGGTGATCAGTGATGAAAACCCCCGAAACACCACAGAAGCAGAAACACTCACTCACTCAGCAGGTGGTGACTGATAGTGCTGTCTATGTAGGGCTCAGAGGGATTGACACACAGCCCGCGTGAGCCTCTCCTCTGTCTGGCTTTACTCGCTTTGTTTATATATGTGTGTGTGAGTGTGTTGTTTTGCAGTCTAACCTCTGTGTAGAAGGTCTGAAACGCTTCATCGCCGCTGCCGCCCGCCGCCATCTTGCTACTGAACCGTCGGCGGAAGTTACGTCACAGGACAAAATAATAGTCCTCGGCCTGTACATATTAAAAACTGGAGCGCAGCTAAACAGGAACACACTTACTCAGTATTTTTTGTCTTGTTTTCCAGTACAAATACCTAAATATCCTTAAATCAAGATGCATTTACTTGAGAAGCAAAATATCGTAAACATCTGCCAGTGGGGTCAGAAAAATAAAATTAATTCAATAGGAAAACAAGATGGAAGAAAGTCATTTTTTCAGTGATTATTTAAAGATTTCTGCTGCATAATCCAGTTTATTCTTGACTCTGAACATAAAAGAAAAAGGAAAAGAATCAGAATGAGCTTTAACTGGTTACCAGTCAAACACATGCAGGGTTTTCGATAACACACACATATCTGATCCACAAACATATTCTGATCAGGGGTGAATAAAGCATTAATATTAATATAGACCATACTGAATATTCTAGAACAATTGAGCATGTTAAGTGAACACTGAGTTTGTTTAGTTTAGTTTAGAGCCACACTCACTCACACACACACACACACACACACACACACACACACACACACACACACACACACACACACACACACACACACACACACACACACACACACACACCCACACCCAC